TGGGAGGTGGGAATGGGAGTCTGTAGTGGGAGTAATCATTGTCCCACCCTGAACATTTAGGTGAGACCTCGAACAACTGAGTGCATCAACCCAAGGCCCCAGGAGAGCTGGGCCCTGAGATGAAGCAAGTCTGTGGCTGGGCTCAACCCTAGGCTGAGACGGCGAGAGTCTCCATGTGGAGCACTCTATGGCTGGAGCACACTGGGCCTGCACCCACAGCCAGCCTCCAGGGCTCCGTGTCCCACCTGCAACCCAGGGCCAGAGTGTTGGCGCCCTGCTGTCCACTCACGCCCAGCCACCCAYGGCCTCCCAGCCTCTCTCAGACCCCTGGCTCCAATGCCTTCCTCTCATGGTGCCTTTCCACCCACTCCCAGGAGAAGAGGGAGCTGTGAGCTCTCAGCACCCCTGAGGCCTTTCACCCACATATAGCACAACAGGCTTTTAAAAAATTAATTTTAATGAGGTGCAATTCACAGGCAATAAATGGCACCCACGGAAGCACAAGGTTAAATATGCTTGGACAGACACATACCTCCTGACCACTGTGCCTGTCAGGSAGGACTGCTCCACTGACCCTCCTCTGGCCACAGGCTGGCACTGACCCATTCCTGACAGGACAGAGCCCCCGTCCCACGTGGTCTGGCCTGCCTAGCACTGACTCACAGGCACTGGGCATGCTTGTCCTGACCTCCTAAGCCCATCTGGGCCCTGCTGGTTTCTAGCAACCACAGCTACATGGGGTGCCCCTCGTGCACCTGCCTCTGCCCCTCCTGAGCAGGTGCGTGGGGAGGGACGGCACACGGGCTGCTGAGGCTCCCAGGCTGAATGGATGAACATCCAGTGGACACCCTGTGGACCCTTGATCTTGATGCGTGACTGATATCAGGCATATTTCCACATGCTTATTGGTCATTTATACACCTGTGTCTTCTCAAAACTTGCTTTTTWAAAAAACTGGATGATCTTCTTATTCCCAGGTCACAAGTGTTATTCACTTACTCTGGACACAAGCCCTGTGTCAGGAACGTGGACACGGAGTGTAGACCTTCCTCCCAGGTGGCCGCCTCTCCCACTGCTCCTCTCATGGACTGTGCCTCCAGCTGAGGTCGGGAGAGGTCTTGGTTGGGATGCTAGGTGTACCCCGAGGCTGTGAAGAAGGCTCGTGCCCAGGGAGGTGGTGAGGCCTGGGCAAGGTGGGGCCTACTGGGAGGTCTAGGTCATGGGCTGGGGACTAGGAGGAGACTGGGAGACCCAGCCCCTTTCTGTCTTCTGCTTCCTGTAGCAAGGTGAGCCACTGTGACAAACCACACGCTGCCCCATGAAGGATGCCACAGGCTCAGAGATCAATGGGCCAAGTAATATTAAGACCTTCAACACTGAGCAGAAGCAAACCTTTCCTCCTGACCAGCCGACTACCTCAGGCATTTTCTTACAGAGATGAAAAGCAGACTACTGTAGTCACTAGCCAGCAGGACTGTGTTGATGGAAAGCTTACCTACCTGAGCTGCCCTGCATGTAGTCACCAGCTGTGATCTAAATAGCTAATGGCTACGACACTCATATATTCAAGTTTTACTTTTAATGTAGGCCTATAATCTATTTCAAATTGGTGTTTGTGAATGGGTATGAAACAAGGGTCAATGTTCTTTTTGTCTGTGGTAGGGGGAGGGATCCTAGGGCCCTGTGCATGCAAGGCCAGTGCTCTGCCACTGAGCTGCACCTGTCCCAGCTAAGGACCACGTGTCTGTGTACATCCAGTAGTTCTGTAAGGCGTGCCCAGCCGGGCCTCAGGGCACCTTCCTGGACACGCAGGTGTCTTTCTGGAAGTTGTTCTTGCCCTTCTGTGAGAACACCCACCCCAGCATTGGCTCCTCTTACTCAAAATAGCTGTGGCTGTGGTGGGTCCTTCCGATTCTCCTGTTTGGAATCAGCTTTTCCTTTCTACAAAATAAGAAGGCTGGGATCCAGATTGGATGATCTTGAATGCCTTGGGGGAGATACTCTCCTAAGCGAGCCTTGCAACCATAAACAAGTACCTCTYCCAGGTTTGTCTCGATGCTGGTTCTCTCGTCGTGCTTTGTAGCTCAGTATAGAAGGCTGGCACGACTCCTATGAATTCTCAGGTGTTTACGTTTTTGATGTGAATGGTGTCATGGATTTTCCCATCATCTGCTCCTGTGTTGGGGGCACAGTGCTCTTCGTGAACCTGGTTTCCTGCGACCCTGCTGACTCGTTCCTGTCTCTGGTAGATTTCTCACGCGTGGCATGACGGTCGCACCACCTGTGAGCAGCGAGCTCTGCCCCTTCAGTCTCTGCCTAGGACCCAGTTCTCCTTCTTGCCATATATGTTGGCTCTCTGTGCCTTGTTCCCACCTAGGACTGACAGCACCTGCTCCTTCACCATGAGAATGTCACCTGCAGGTTTCTGGAACAGCTCCTCTGCCACCAGTGTCCACCCGCAGTGACCATGGGTTCAATGGGGGTCCTCTCTGCCCAGGATGTGCTGTGTGGCCAGCCCTCACTGCATGCAGAGGCTGGGGTGCTCATTCTGACCTCCTGCCTGTGGCTGAGTGCTCTGAGGGCTTCCAAAGCAGTGGCCTCAAACCCACCTGGTGCTGCCTGCTGTTTGCACATCTCCTACTGTGATTTGATGTCATTCTCCAGCAGCTTCACTGTGGCCCCCAACGGGAACTAGCCTCCCTTGTTCTCTCCCAGATGCACGAGCACCCAGGGCTTTGTGAAAAGCTGACTTGGGTGCTGGTGTCTGGAGCCCTCCCAAGGAAGGCCATGCTACAGCTGGCCAGGCAGAGCACCAGCCCAGAGGTGCTCAGAGGGCTGGGGACCACAGGGGGCACTCTCAGGCTGCTGCAGGAGCTCTGCTCTGGGTCAGGGTTCAATCCAGGGGCAGAGACAGGCTCCAGAGAGGACAGAGGAGGGCGCGACCCTGGGTAGGCTCAGGAGTGAGGTTGGGGGTGCTTGCTGGCTGTGCTGAGGTCTTGCTAAACCAGTAGGTGGGCAAGAAGGGTACTGGGTCCTCTGCCTCTACTCAGCTGCTGCAGGCTTCAGGGAGTGGGAGGAGAGGACTGGGTCCTCCCTGATAGGGGCACCCCCTGCTCCTCCCAAGGTACCCATACCCATGTGGATGGGGGATACTAAGGGGCCAGAGCCTCCAACCACGACAGGCCTGCATGCCTCTGCTGGGACCTGGTCCACTTGGAGCCCAGCTCAGTCTGACCTCCAGGCCCCTGGTGTGGGAGAGGAAGAGAAGCCCAGGACAGGGAAGGCAGAGAGACTGGCTTGATGCTGAGAAGGAACGTGTACACAGAGGGACTGCCCAACTGTTCTCAGGTCTAGAGCTCTCCCTGGGGACACATCTCTGTCCAGTGGCTTCCAGCAGAAGTTACCACTGAGAACAGATGGACAGTGCTGTTCAGAAATGAAGAGTGGGAGACTCAGAAATCCTCAACCAGGCCCCAGCTCTGCGTGCTGGTACTGGGTTCAAGGAAACACTGCGAGCCAGCCCTGTTCCTGGGACCATGTGCAGCACGTGGGGATGCTGGCGAGAAGAGTGCGCAGAGCAGTCAACAACATGCAACGCCCCCAACGCTGYGCGCTGATGTCCACATGTGTGGCACGCCTGTGCGTGTGTGCGTGTCTTAGGCTCTGGGTTTCCTGCTCAGGGAAGGCCCTGATCCAGACTGTGGGCACCAGGGCTCTACCACCAGAACACACCCGTTTCCAAAGCCGGGGTTGTCCTGTGCCCATGGAGGATGCTGCTGGAAGCGGGCTCTTGGGGGGAGCCCTGAAACTGTGGAAAGACATTTGCAGGGACTTCCCTGTGTCAGATGAGGGTTGGGGTAGACTCAGGGGGCCAGGACATTGGTGGGGAACATTCTGGACTTTGGGAGCACTAACTGAACATAGCTGCCATGCTCCCTGGTGGGAGTGGGCACTGCAGGAGAACTCTCTGTTCCTCATCTGCCCAAATCAATTCATGGTGGGTCTGAGTATTCTTGATGGTCCTGGGCAGTGGGACAAAGTGGGCAGCTACACTTGATGGGGGACACCACCAAGCAGTTCCTCCAGGTTGGCCTGGAGCTGGGCATGGTTGGGTTAGGTGCAGAGGCCACCTAAACACCTCTGGGAGGCAAGGAGTCTCTGTGGGCCTGCAGAAGCTGGGCATTTCCCCTCCAGCCTATGGCTGCTCCCAGGGACCAGCCCTTGCTGCTCTCCCCTGACGTGGACAGACTCTTAAATCCAGGAGACCCTCCTGCAGCTTTTCTTCACCACAGCACCTTGCGCCTTTCAAAGCTTGCAGTGGCTCCCACCAGACTGTCCACTGACCCCCACCACTGTGCRATACACACCTCTGATGCTGCTGCAGAGCCCTCCTCCAGCCAACGCCTGGAGTAGCCTGTCCTCCCTCAGAACAACCGCTCTCGGTGACCACCGGCCTCAGGTGCYGCTGCTCACCGTGGGCCCCTCCACTCCCAGCCCACCCAACAGGGCCTGCTGCAGCTGGGATCCCAGACCTTGTGGGAAGGAGACTTCAGACAGCCCTGCGCAGGAGTCTCGCAGTTCTACATACAGCTGGAGACGGTGGGGAGACTGCCACTCTCTGTGGCCTCTGCACGCTGCCCTTGCCCTGGTGCCCACCCTTCCTGCCTATGGGTAGGGTGGCCACCATCAGGGCTCCTGTGGGCAGGCTCCTTGCTAAGCCCCATGGGGGCACTGGCCAGGCTGCCTGCCTCTGTCCACTTCTAGTAGTGGCCCCTGACCTGCTCAGAGGACCATGCCGCCCTGTCCCCCAGGTCTTGTGCCACTCACACACAAGAACCCTCTGGAGTTCTGCCCCTCGGTCTGCCTACAGGAGTGGGGACTGGGCACAGCCAGAGTGCTGGTGGGCACATGCAGCTCTCCCTAAAGTTCTGTGAGCTATCTCAGAACTCACTTCCAAGCTGAAACTGTTTTCGGTTATTGATATTTGTTCCTGCTGTTTTCCACATACAGGGACCCGTGGACGGGACCAAGGCTGGCTGAACATACAGCCATTGAGTGCAAGGACCCATGCAGGCTTCCAGGCATGGAATGGAMGGGAGAGAATCCTGCGGGACTCTGCACACCCGAAGGGACAGCAATAGCAGGTCCAGCAGGCCAGGAGTGGGTCCAAACCATTCACATATGAAAAAGGGAAGGGCAGGGGCATTTTGAGGGGCTCCTACAATCCTGAGCTGCCATGGAGCTGGTTCCCACTGCCCCACTCTGTGGAGCACAGCCTGGGCACCCCCAATAACCTGGACTCAGGGCTGGAGTTCTCTGGGCAGTGACTGGTGGCCATGTACCACTGAGGTCCAAGTTCAGAAGAGTAGAACAGTCACAAGCTGGGGAAGAGCTGTGCTGGTGGGGAAACTGTGGGTGTCCACACCAGGGACCCCGAGTTAGCACAAGTGGTCCCTGCATCCCCTCAGATCGATCCCCCAGACTTTCTGGTCATTCTTCCTGGCTCTCCCTCTGCCTTTCCGCCTTGCCTTCCCACTGATGGGCACAAGCACTGGGCGTTCAGCCAAACCCAGGGCCCTGAAAGGGATGGCTGCCAGTGCCTCCTGCCTGGGCATCTTGCAGCCCCAACTTTATGAGAGCCAGCCGGGGCAGCCCATGGACCCTCCCATCTCAGCTCCCTGCCCCTGTTAACAAATCCTTGCCGGTTCAAAATGAGCCTGAAGGTGGAATGGGGTGCCTGGGGCCCCGCGTCTCAGGCTGGTACCTGCTCTGCAGCTTGAGCCCGCAGTCCGCCGCTGGCCAGAGCTCTGGTCCCTGGACTGGGCTTTCCGACCGACAGGGAGCGAACGTTTCTAAAGGTGCCTGAAAGAAAGCGGGCAAGAACCTTTTGTTCCCGGGTGTAGACAGAGGCCAGGAGCAGGCCCGCGGAAGGGCTTCGGTCCTCAAGGTACGGCCAGGTCCAGGGGCGGGCCCGGGGAGGGGCCTCGGTCCCCAAGGCTCAGCGGCCGCAGTAGGGGAGGGGGCGGGGAGCGACGCTCGGGTCGGTCCAGGCAGGTCCAAGACGTCGCAGCGACCAAGGCCAGGCGCCGGCGGGTAGGGGCTCCAGGGGCAGGCTCCGGCGGGTGGTCGGGACTGCGGCAGGAAGTGGGGGCGCGGAGGCTGGTGGGCGAAGGGCAGAGGGTCGCGCGGAAGAGGTGGGGGGAGTACACGGAAAGGGCGAGGTGGGGCAGGGGGCGCAGGGCAGAGACTGGGAGGGCGCCGGGGCACAGGGGCGGGCCGAGAGGGCGAGGGACCGGCGTGGAGGAGGTGGGGGGCGGCCGGGCCGAGAAGGAGGTGCGGAGACACAGGGCAGTTGGGGACGCGCAGCGGGGGCGCGGCTGCACGAGCCGCGTGACCCCGACGCTGACGGGTGGCGACATCCGGAGAGCGCGTGCGCAAGCCGCGGGCTCGTGGGCGCTTGCCCAGTCCTGGAGACGCTACTGCGGCTGCGCGGCGCTGCACTGGCCCCGCCCCGGGGCGGGGCCAAGTGCTGGTCACGCCCGCCCGCCGTCCCGCGCTCGCGCGCGGCATCATAGGAACTGTAGTCCGCGCGTCCTGGTGCGCGGGACCCGGAGCGCCGCTGCTACCCAGCCCAGGTACCCGCCTGCGGGGCGCGCTGCCGGGGGCGCGGGCTAGGTCTGGGGAAGGGCTGGGGTCTGTGGGGTGAGTGCGAACCGCGGTGCGTGGGGTGCCAGAGGTCCCTGGTTGAGTGCGGGGGCGGGCCTGGGTCTGCGGGGTGCCAGAGTGAGTGCGGGAGCGGGCCGGGATCTGCAAAATACCTGGAGAACCTGGATGAGGGCTGCAGACCCGGGTCTGCGGGATATCAAGGGTCGCCGGGGGCGTGAAGGGTGTGGAGTGGGGTCTCAGTGTTTGGCGCCAAGGTTCAGGTGCTCTGGGCTGCGTGCATGCGGGGCGCCCATGGTGTCTGACCCTCTGGTAACTTCGCGCCAGTCTGTCTGGTGAGGGCTGGGAGCGCCACTCCTCTTCTCCGTCTTCTCCCCGGGCCAGGAGAAACGCATGGACCCGCCTTGATGCATGTGCCTCTGCACCTGTGCTCCTGCTCCATCTGGCGGGAGTCTGCCACCCCATCCTCTGGCGCGCCTCCAGGCCTTTTGTATCGCTCCTGGAGGTTGTAGATAGGGCTCACACAACTTCCCCTTGGAGCGGCTCTTGGCATGTTCTGGCAGGGAATAGGAGGTGTCTCCCTGTTGGACAGGGGCCTGAGAGCCTCTCCTGAGAGGTCCTCCAGCATGTCTATAACAGGAAACCGCTTCCCAGGGTCCTGTCCCAGTCTCCATGGGAAGCTCCTGGGGAGGCTGGGGGGTGGCCAGGGAATTCTTGACCATCCAGTCGTCCTGGTCCCAGGATACCAGTCAGAACCTAAACCTGCTCTGGAGTCCAGAGCTATCTATAAGAAGCTGTTTCTCAGCACTGCATAGTGGAGATAGGATAAAGTCCTCCACGGTGCCTGCTGCTCCACCCTGGTAAGGAGTGTGGTTTTTCCCTGCTCTTCTGCCTGCCCCCCAGAGCCTAGATGGACCCAGCAGAATGCAGGACCCTCTGGCCTAGTAAAGCTGCCTGGGTGCTTCAGAGGCCTGTCGTCCAGATGTTTGGTTGTCTGTGCTGGGCAGCTGAGAAACCATGCTTGCCTGTGTGGCCATGTCAGCCACAGTCAGAGGCCAGTCCTACTCAGTCACTCTGCTGGGGGGAGGACTTCTTGGATTGTCTCTGAACCCAGCCGTGCCACCTCCTTGCCACAAGCTCCCATGCTGTTTCCGAGACTGTGCCTGCCTCGTGGGCTCCCCCGCTCTCCTCCGGGRGGTGGCTCCAAGCCTGTGTGGGGAAGAGGTATCTGAGGCTCTGCTGTGGAGGCCAGAGGACCTAGTTCGCCTGTTAGCCGACTGTGTGGGAGGCTGATAGCCTCCGGTGGAGTGGAGTGGACTGGCAGGGAAAATGGGCTGTTGGGGCCCAGCCTCATTGATGAGACCTTGGCTAACCTCCGTCCTGCTCAGGGGTTGGCCTGGAGAGAGCTGTCCCGGCCTCTTGTCCTGGCCGCTGACTAACAGGGCTTGAGGGTGCCCTGCCCTGGGTTGCGAAAGACTGTGCAGGTAAACAAGTGTTTGGACTTGTGAAGCTCAACATTGTCCATCAGGGGCCAGTGTTAAAAGTGTATTTCAAGTATGGACCTGGACTTTTGACTCCTGTTCCTGTGTGACAGCCCTTGCTTCTGGGGCAGGGCTGCGCCCCTCCCCTGGCCAGTTTTCTGTCCCTGCCTGCCTCTTAGTCATGCTGTCCACTGGCCCAGTAGGTGCTGGAGTTGGCAGCCCCAGCACCGATTCTGGGAGGTTTTGGGGGTGTGCATGGGTGTGCCCCCACTCTTAGTGTTCCGCCCCCACTCTTTGTGTTCCATCAGTACCCTTGCAGCACGAGCTCTGGCTCAGGGAGGGTGGTCCAGGGCTGTAGAGCTGGGGAGAGCCTGTGTTGAAGGAGGGAAGGTTGAGAACACTCTAAGGAACGAGTCTAAAGCAGAAAGGTGGTGCCTGTGGGACCTGGGTTGCAGCTGCTTTTCTTCTCCTGACCATGCCTTTGCTCTTGCTGCCTCTGCCACGAGAGCTGGTGGAAGTGAAGGTCTTCTGGAGTCTGGGAGCATCCTAGGACTCCCGAAAGGGCTCAGGGAGCAGGAAGGGAGCCTGCCTTCCTGAGAGCATGCCTGGCCATCCTGTGTGCACCCTACCAGGAAGTTGGTCCTGGGTCAGCTGGGCTTCTCTGCTGAGCAGTGGTGGACGTTCAGGTGGAAGCGCAGTGCCATGCAGGGGTGATGCTAACCAGGGGCCGGGCTGTAGATGGGGACCTGGAAATGTGCGCATGCCACAAAGCCCCACCTGTGGGGACATGCTGGCCCTTTAGCAGTTATGTACTCCAAGAACAAAGATGGTGCAGGGTTCTGTCAGCCTCCTGCTTCTCCTGACAAGATTTCAGAGCCCCTACTGTGCTGCAGAAGTGTCCCCAGATGGCAGGGAGGGGACTGGAAGGGAGGGGCAGAGCTTACAGGAGCTTACAGGAGCAGATACAGCAGTCCTGGGACTGTGCTCTGGGTGTGGTGGGTGGCCTGTTCTGGTCCCCGTGGGACATGTTGCAGGGTGTCCTCAGCTGCACCAGGGTTTAGATCGACCTGAGGGGCGGGTCCCTGGTGAGCTCTCATCGTAGCTCAAGACGTCAGCCTTGTGTCACCCTGACCCAAACACCCAACAGGAACCACTTAGGAGGAAAAGTTTATTTGGGCTCACAGTTCAGAGGTCGGTCTGGGGTGGGCCCCAGGCGAGCCAGGACATCCTCGTGCGCCAGGCAGGCAGCCAGGAAGCAGGGGTGGGGAAGGGGCCACAGAGAAGAGGTGCCCTTCCAGGGTAGCCCCCAGTGACCCTCTCCTCCAGCCCTGCCCACCTGCCTTCAGTGACCACCTGGGAGATCCATTCAGACTAGGATGGGTCAAGAGGTCACAGCTCTCKCGATCCAGTCATCTCATTGCCCAATACCTCTGCATTGACACCAGCTTTGGGGATGCCTCAAGTCCCTCCAGGGTTTGGGAAGTAAAAGGAGTGTGACCCCGATTCCCAGTGGACACCCAGTGAGGAACGGAGCTGCCTCCTGAGGGCTGGGCCTTCCTGGMCCCACCCCTTCTCAGCTGTTTCCAAAGCTCCCCGGGAGGTTGGGAAGAGTGAGGCCAAGAGAGTGGACTCAGCGTTTGTTCAGCTGAAGCCGGGGCTGGGCTGGGCTTCTCCTGGGTAGCTGTGTCCTGCTGTCAGCCCTGCCTGGCTGCTTGTTTTTCCTCTGGCCCTCTGAGAATGTGGGTCCTGTCCCAGGCCCTGTAACTTCCGGGGCCACTGCTGTTCTCATCATCCCCCCCCATAGAACTCTCTGGAATCCTTGCAGCTGCTTGGCCCCTGCCCTCCCGCCCTGACAGCCCCCCAAAACAGGCTACCGGCCCCTGCCTCTTTAGGGGTTAATCTGCCTTCCCCCTCGGCACAGAAAGGAGCACATGGGGACTCAGAGGACGGGATCTCGGATGGTCTAGACAAGGGCCGTGGGCTAGGGGAGTCCCAGAGTGGGTCCCTGCAAGTCACCTCACTTTCCTGGGTCTCTGTCGTGGAAAGGAGGGTCAGAGGTGTCTTCAGCTAAGAGGCGTCCCAGGTCCCAGGGTCCCAGTGCCAGGAATCGGGCCCTCAAAGCCGGTGCCACGTCTCTAGAGCTTTCTTCGCCCCTCGGGGTTCTCCCTGAGCTGAGACCCTCTGGAGGCCACTGCAGACACGGTGCCTACCCAGGCAGAGTCATCCACCCGCCTGAGTCCAAGCRGAGGAGTGGGTGGTCAGCACGGCCAGTCCCGCCTGCCTCCCCGTGCCTCTGCCCCTGCCCCTGCCTCAGCAACGGGGGCCACCTCTGCACAGGATCCCCCACGCCATCCTCCAGGAGGGAGGTCACCCGCAGACTGGAGCTGTGGTCACAGGGGCAGCTGGCCGGAGCCTCCTGAGCCATGTGGGAAGCCTGCAGCACCTGGCACGTGGAGGTGCGGGGGCCAGCACAAGCCACAGGGCGCTGGGTACCTGGGCGTGGAGGTGGCCCCCGCCCTGTTAGTGCCTGTTCTACCCCCAGYAGTGGGTGGAGCCTTTGTCCTGGACAGCATCTGGAAGGGGAAGACACTGCTGAGCGCACAGTCCTCACAGGTGCCCTGTTTACCCAGCAAAGTGCCCGGGCTGTGCTKCGAGGCCAGCCTCTGGGAACGGCAGGCTGGATGGGCCCCTGCAGGTGGACCTGGGTGCCTGTTGTCTGGGATGGCAGCTTCTGGCTGCTTCTCTAGGACACTGGGTCCCTGAGTGCAAGTCTAGGCCTTGGGTCTGTCTCCGTCCCTTCTTCTGCCTTGTTTTACCCACGGCTGCCCTGGGCCCCTGCAGGGCACCTGCTTCTCCAGAGCCTCCTCTCCTGCTGCAGCTCCTACCCACCTCATTCCACAGTAGAGCCCCCTGGTGGTGTGGGGGACCATCCAGGGGTTCCGGCCCGTGCCCCCAGCCACCCCTGCTGACCGCCTGTGGGATGGCCCTGTGCATGCCTGGTGTCCCAGCAGAGCTGTTCCTCTCTGGCCACCTTGGATGCCACTTGAGCAGCAGCTTTTGTGGGACATTTGTGCAGTAGTCACTGCCAGCACCAGAGCCAGCTGTCCCTAAGACCTGTCCCCTGAGACCTGTGGGTAGGGGAGCCATGTCCAGCCCAGTAGCCATGACCATACACATTGCCAGGCACTGAAAATGAATCTAGTGTGCCCCCAGACCCTGAATTTTAGACGTCATTAATCTGTTAACTAAGTGYGTTTGTTTGCTTGGTTTAATCAACCTCCAGCAGTCCCCTGTGGCCGGAGCTTCTGTCTGTCCGGGAGACTTCGGGAGGTATGCTGCCCTGATGGCCCTGGGTGGGAGGGCCCAGGTGGTCCTCCGGCTGTCCAGGCCGTGTGGTGGGGCCTGGGACCCTGACTGGGCCTGGGAGGAGGAGCCCTGGGGAGGGGGTGCCGGGGGAGGAGGAGCCCTGGGGAGGAGGAGCCCTGGGGAGGGGGTGCCGGGGGAGGAGGAGCCCTGGGGAGGGGGTGCCGCAGGCCCTTGCCAGCCTGCCTGACTCCGTTCCTCTTTCCAGGTGTGTCGCCCCCAGTCCTCACCCGGGTCGAGTGTGGGCCTGGGCAGCATGGTGCCCTCTGGCCAGGTGGCGGAGAAGGAGGTGTCCGAGGAGCCTGGACCCGGCCCTGAGCCCCACTCCTGGCGATGCCTGGTGTTCTACCTCTGCTTCTACGGCTTCATGGCCCAGATGCGGCCCGGGGAGAGCTTCATCACACCCTACCTCCTGGGGCCCTACAAGAACTTCACCCGGGAGCAGGCACGTGGGTGTGGGCTGCAGGGGCCGTGTTTCACAGGTGGGCAGGGGAGCCAGGGGGCCCTGGACGCATGGGCAGCTGAGGCTGGAGAAGGTAAGTGGCTGTGTGAGCACCACACAGGGGCCCGAGGGCTCTGGGCGGGTCCTGGACCCCATGCTCCCCGCAGTAGGCACTGTTGGAGGGAGGGGCCCTGCTTTGACACATTCTTCAGGCCAGTTAGAAGGGTCTGGGGTTCTAAGAGATGAAGCACAGGTCTAAGGTGCTGCCCCGCCCCCCGGCCCCTCATCTACCATCTGGTGGAGCCCGTGTCCAGCCATGCGGGCACCTGCCTCCAGCCAGGAGCCAGCAGGTATCTGCCTAGAGGTCATCAAAGGAATTTCCTTTCGCTTGGCTAGGGGCACACAGGGTCCAGTGAAACCCTGTAATGGGCTGATGGCAGACATGCAGCCCAGGGCCCGGCGTGGCCCCGTGCTGGGGTCATTTCCTCCTTGAGTTTGCACGGTGTGCTGTGTAGAACGSGGTCAGACAGAAGGAGCATGGAGGATAGCCCTCACCCCGCACACTCACTGGTTGGCCAGAGGCTTCTCTGCTCCTGACCCGGGGCTGCAGTCCAGCGTGTGTGTGAAGCACCCTTTACAGTTGATGGAAAACCGTCGCAGAGATGTTTACTGGCCCTTCCTTCCTGCCCTCTCACCCCCCACACTGATTAGAGAGTAGGCTGCAGAGGTCACACCGTCCCAGTAGGTCACACCGTCCCAGTAGGCCTTGGAGCCCTCGGGGACTGTGGTCTCGGGCTTTGCCCTCTGGCCCCATAGGCCAGTCCTCTGGTCTCAGCCCTCTGGCTGCAGGGACTGAGCAGGCCAGTGCTTGCTGGGCCTGGATCCACCAGTTCACGTAAGTGGTGTCTAATGACACCTCTTTTGGAACCTGCCTCCTGCCCGTCTGACTGGGGACATTCATCCGTGTGGATTCAGGGCTGGTCCTGCTGGAGTCTCGCCTCGAGTTGAGCCACAGACCATTTCTCCAGCGCTTCTCGGTGGGGGAGGAGCTTCTGCTTGGGTGTAAGAATTTGTCAGAGTCCTCAGGTTTGGGGTGTAGGGAACATTCTGGGACCCTAGGGGAGCGCCCTGGAAGTTCCCTGGTGGTGTGCCCAGCTCGCTTGGCTGGACGTGCCTCCTCAGTGTGCCACAGGCTCCTGGGTCCTGGCCTGGGGCCGTGGTCTGTCATCAGGCTCTTGAGGCAAAGAGCAGACGTCGTCCCTTAATTGAGRTGAAGGCCCTGGGCCACCTTCTCCAGGCTCTCCCTCTGCCTGGCCTCCTGTGTAGGTGCTGGGTGCAGGTCTGGGCTCTGGCCTGTGGGCTGGGCCTCCAGCTGCTGCCTTGCCGCCCGTCCTGTCCACTTCCCTCCTTTTTCCCTCTCACCACAGCCCCCTGCCCACCCAGGTCCTGGTAACCCACCGCTGACCTCCTTTGTCCTGCCCTGCCCTCTGGAAGGGCTGAGGTGGCTCAGGTGGTACCTACTGCCCACAGTGCTGTTTTCCATGTTGTATTTAAGGTGAAACCAAATTCTGAGTCCAGGAAAAACAAGTCAGTCCAGATTACCACTACCTAGGATGTAATGGGTCATTTTCAGTGGTAATGGTCACTTCCTGTGGACGGCTGCTGCCTCCTTCTGATTGCCTGGGGTCTGCAGTTTCTTGGGCTACAGGCTCTCTAGTCCCCACGTCCCCCTGGCATGCCTGGACAGGGTACTCCGCAGGGAGCCATGTGGGCATTTGACTCATGGCGGCAAGGCAGCCATGGCCACAGAGAGTGGTCAGCGGGGATGACTGCGGCAGTGTGGGCCCCTGCTWAGTCACCCCTGTGCACTTAGCAGAGTGGCCAGTGTTCCTCACAGCGGCTGCTCCCTGTCCGCAGGTGACCAATGAGGTCATTCCGGTGCTGTCCTACTCCTACCTGGTGGTGCTGGTCCCGGTCTTCTTGCTCACCGACTACCTGCGCTACAAGCCCGTGCTGCTGCTGCAGGGCCTGAGCTACGTGTGCGTGTGGCTGCTGCTGCTGCTGGGCCACTCTGTGCTGCACATGCAGCTCATGGAGGTCTGCTACAGCATCACCATGGCCGCCCGCATCGCCTACTCCTCCTACATCTTCTCCCTGGTGCGCCCTGCCCGCTACCAGCGCATGGCCAGCTACTCGAGGACCGCGGTGCTGCTGGGCGTCTTCACCAGCTCTGTGCTGGGCCAGCTGCTGGTCTCCGTGGGCCAGATGTCCTTCTCCATGCTCAACTACATCTCCCTGGCCTTCCTCACCTTCAGCCTGGTCCTCGCCCTCTTCCTGAGGCGTCCCAAGCGCAGCCTCTTCTTCAACCGCAGTGCACCTGCACGTGGAGCCTCACCCAGCGAGCTGGACCAGATGCACCCGGCCCCTGACCAGCCTGTGCGCGGGAAGCTGGGGCGTGCTCTGGGTGCCTGCAGGGACTCCTTCTTGGCGCATATGCTGTGGGACCTGGTGGGCAGTGTGCGGCGGCCACAGCTGCGCCTCTGGTCCCTTTGGTGGGTCTTCAACTCTGCTGGCTACTACCTGATAGTCTACTACGTACACGTCCTGTGGAACAAGGTGCTCATCACCCCCAGCAGCACGCAGGTCTACAACGGCGCCGCAGACGCTGCCTCCACACTCCTGGGTATGTGGAGCCCTGTCCTCCAAGCCCTAACCTGGGCCATGACCAGCACTCCCACCCAACACCAGCCCCAGCCCCCCCTTCTTAGGCCTGGCCCTCAGCATGACCAGCACTCCCACCTCTATCCCAGCTAGCTCCCACCATTGGCCTGCTTCCCTGCCCCCCAGTGTAAGCTGCACAGCCCGTACCCAGCCCCCTCCCTGGCCTCCCTGTGCTCTACCCGGCCCTAGCGTGACCGTGACATTTCCTGTCCCCAGGTGCCATCACATCCTTTGCCGCGGGCTTTGTGAATATCCGCTGGGCTCTGTGGTCGAAGGTGGTCATTGCGAGCATCCTGGCCGTGCAGGCCGGGCTGGTCTTTCTCATGACCAGCACCAAGGACATCTGGCTCTGCTACGCAGCTTACGTGCTCTTCCGCGGCGCCTACCAGTTCCTTGTGCCCATCGCCACGTGAGTGGGCCCAGGGGAGGGACTAGCAGGAGGTTCTGCAGGGAGCAGCAGGTGTGCACATGGGTCGCCAGGGCCGGCCTGTGGAAGACTGGCCTTGTTCACAGGTAGCTGAGGTCCACCACATCCCTCTGGCTCCCTGCCCCAACCTGCCAGCCCCCGGGACCCCTGCACTGCCCCTTGCCCAGACCCTCTGGGCTCTTCTCTGAAGCTGCCTGGGCACTACCACCAGCTGAGAGGGCCCACTCTCCATGCCAGGCACTTTCTGTGTAGACACCAGGTGTGTGTGACACACTCACACTTACCACACACCACGCAGTCACGTGCTCTGGCTCACGCTGTCCACGCAGGTGCTGCCTCCCTTGGCCTCCCACTGCCCCGCCCACCCTTCCCAGGGCTGCCCTGCCTCCCTCCCCACACACCGTCAGCACACACGCCCCTGCCCTGGGAGCGCTGAGCCCGTCTTGCCCCACCTGTGGGATGGGGCCTGCACCTGAACCCTGCCCTCTGCACCTCGGATGCTTGCTCTCTGGGGTGCTGGAAGTGGGGCTCAAACCCAGGGTCCTTTCTGTCCCATCCTGACCACATCTGGGTTGCAGACCTCCCTGGTCTGTGGCCACTGTCCCCACGCCTGCCCCTCATGTCTCCCATGTCCCAGTCTGCCTTCTCCCTAGGAGGCCCTCTTGACCCTGCCCCCAGCCTGTGGAGGCCCACAGTGTTTCTGAGGTGGGACTCACCTCTGCTGCCTGTCCACTTTGACCAGGGCACTAGGCTGGTGTGGCCATCCCAGGCTATCAGGCATGTTTGGCTAGTCACGAAGGGTGTGGGGCCCACTACGCGGGTCCCAGTCAGGGTGGGAAGCACATGGGAGGAGCAGACGTCGCCACAGGGCACAGGTGCTGCAGAGCCACACCGGGCTTTCCCCTGGGCCATGTGCAGGTCACTCCTGTGAGGTCAGTTCCCCGGCTTCTTGTGGCCACCGTGCTGAGCTGGCTTCCTGTCTGCACTTTTGCTTCCACATTCTGATGGYAGCTCCCAGGTGGCTGCCTGCCAGGGACAGGCCAGGTGAGGGCCTGAAAGGGGGTTCCGGTCAACATTGAGAAACCCTGCAGCCTGTCTGCGTGCTTGTCCTGGTGGTACCCCARCCACGAGCCTCTGACCTGCAGGCCTTTCTTAACTTTATTTTTACTTACATATTTTTTAATGTTAATCTGCTTACTTTTTGGTACCGGGAATTGGACCCAGAGGTGCTTAATCTCTGACCCACATCCCCAGCCTTTTTTTATTTTTTGAGACAGGTTGCTTAGAGCCTCGCTGAGTTGCCGAGGTTGGCTTTGAACTTGGGGTCCTCCTGCCTCCGCCTCCTGAGCCCATTTTGTATCTCTGACGCCCTCTGCTGGGTTCCACTGTGGTGGGGTGCTCACCCTGGCTTGGGCAGCTGCCCAGGTGACCTGCAGCCCCACCTGCTCTCATGGGCTGCAGCTCCTGTGCGTAGTTCTCCTCTGCGAGGTGCTCTGGGTTCTCTTCCTGACCCCAGCGTCCCCTGTCCATCAGCTCTTGGTCATTCTTTTTCAAAGGTTCTGTGGCATTTTTATTTGAGGGGATTCTAGAACACTTTTGTCCAGTCTTTCTTTCAAGGAACATGTTCTGGGGAGTCCATCAGAACTGCACTCGGATGTCCCTTTCCTGGGGGCACCAGAGGCCTGGAGGACGTCACTGCCCCTCATCCCCCGCTTTCCCTGTCTCCTGTCCTCATTCCCTGGCTGTCTTCCAGAGAGACCTCCACTGTGCACGTTTCCCGCCCCTGTTCTCGGGAGGACCTCCCGAGCACGTTGTCCCAGGTTCTGTGGGATCTTCCTGCACCTGCACTTGTGCTTCTTGGTGCCTGTCCTTCTAGGTTGAGGATGTGGCTCTGTGGCCGGGAGGGGCCCACACTCTGCTCCTGAGCTGGGTCTGCCTGGCTGCTGGCTGCTGGTGGGTGGGCATGTGCCTGAAGGAGGGTGGGGCTGGGGGGTGCTGTGCTCCTGGGAGCTGTCCGGGTGGCTGAGGGCAGGGCTAGAGGGTACCAGAGACTGTACCTGTTGAGCCGCACTGTGCACCTAGGGGCGAGACTGAGAGCAACCCTGTGCGTCTTGGGTGGTCCTGTGTCTGTGACAGGCCCAGGGGCAGAGGTGGGGGAGACTGAGAACAGGCATCTGGGACGGGGCTTTGTGGGGCAGGGCCTGTGGGCAGGCAGGGGCAGGCTTTTGGTGGCCTGTGTGGGTGGGTTGTGTCTGGGAGCCACATCCCCTCCCTCCCACCACGCTGCATCTGGAGCTCCTCTGGACCCTCCCGAGGTCCCACTTCAGCCCTGGCTCTTGCTTCCCGTCCTCTCCAGCTGTCTGACCTGCTCTTCTGCCCAGTTTTCAGATTGCATCCTCTCTGTCCAAAGAGCTCTGTGCCCTGGTCTTCGGAGTGAACACGTTCCTCGCCACCATTCTCAAGACCACCATCACACTCATCGTGTCTGACAAGCGGGGCCTGGGCCTCTCAGTGCACTGCCAGGTGAACCCCATGGCACATGGTCCTTTTTGGGAGGGAAGCCATGGTGGGGTCTTGGGAGAGCCTCCTGGTGCCCGCAGGCCCACTGCCTGGGGTGTGCAGAGGGTGGATCCTGCTCCTGCCAGAACGAAGAGAGGTGGGCTGGGGCTCCCTTCTCCAGAGAGCCACTGTGCCCTGCTGAGGATGAGGGAGTCGCTGTGGTGGCCTGGGCGTGCACCGGCCCCTCAGAGTGCCTCTTCTCTCCCCTCCCTGGGTGGGAGGTGCTGGGCCCGGGGAGGCTGGCCCACCAGTTTTTCCTTCTGTAGTTCTACTGTGGGCTGAGTCTGAAGGCGTCTTATTTACCCCTAACTTCCCCAACGTCCTCTGAATGGGTTTATACTTGTACATGAGCCTGCGGTCCCCAGAGTGAAATCGTGCCTAAGTGTGAGTTAGGCCAAGGTTCATGCCGTAGCCCGAGTGGGCCCTCTGCTCAGCGTGGTTTGTTGAGACTTGACTTTCCTCCATGAAGTGCTTTTACGCCTTTGCAGAAGTCCTTTTCTGGATCTTTATTCCATCCTGAGCTGTGTGCTCACTTTCCACCAACACCACACTGTCTTGGTGACAGAGCTTAATTGTAGGTTTTGAAATTGGTCAGACTGATTTCTCCAATTTTATCTTTTTAAAAAAATTTTCCTACTATTATAGCTCTTCGTATTTCTGTGTACCTTTTAGAGTACTGTCTTCACAAAAATTCTTTTTGGGATTTTATTAGGAATTGCACTAAGCAAACATCAGTTTGGGGAAAGTTGACATTTATTGTCTTTCTGTCCATGAACATGGTATGCCTCTCTATCTATTTAATAATTTTTGATTTCTTTAACCATTTTAGTTTATAACATTCAAGTATTAAGTGCTGAACATGTTAAATTTATACTTTAAGTTTTTCATCTTGGGGGGCACAATTGTAAATGAAACTATATCTAACGTTTTTTTAAATATTTATTTTTTTAGTTGTACTTGAATTCAGTCCCTTTATTTTGTTTATTTTAATGTGGTGCTCTCATGTGCTAGGCAAGCGCTCTACTGCTGAGCCTCAGCGCCAGCCCACTATTTAACATTTACTGTCTCCGTCACTGTATGGGGCTGCTATCATACCACAGACTGGGTGCATTAAAGAGGAGAAATTTATTTTCTCAATTTTGGAGGTTGGAAGTCCAGTGTCTCAGGGCTGGTCCTCAGAGGCCTCTCCCCTTGGCCTGGGCCTTCTCACTGTGACCTCATGTGGCCTTTTACCTGTGTGGGTATCCATGGTGTCTGTCGGCTCCTAAGGGCCACAGTCATACAGGACCAGGACCACCCTCACGGCCTCCTTGGGCCTGAGTCACCTCTCTAAAAGCCCTTTGTCCAGGTGGAGGCTTCAGGGGCTTGGCTGTCAGCTGTGAATTTGGAAAGAAGGAACACAGTTCAGTCATAACAGTGAGTCGCGTTCCTGAGGGTCCGTAGACCTGGGAAGATGTGTCCACT